GACATTACCTGCTTTTCCCGAAATCTTGCAGTAGCAGAACAACTGCAAGATTAAAGTTTCTCTTCCAGGAAACCAGTACTATTACCTAGAATAGCTCAGTGACATACAACAGTTTCAGAAGAATATTAACATCATGTTTTAGCCATCAACACCACTATCACCAATTACTTTAATGATTATAGCTTGAAGCTGAGAACATGCCTTTAAAGACTCTCCAGCAGGTTAGAGGGGCTTTAACAATTTCCAGGAGATGCATTAAATTGTCCTATTGTGACATTCAAGTGGCAATGCCTTGTGATACAGTCTGCTGTAACCAATAAAGCTGTTTAGATGAGTTCATGCAAAGACTCTTGAGTCAATGAGGATGGGAGTGCGAAAAGAGCTTGGAAACTTACCCAGAGCAAAGTACTCAAGCCCTAAAGATAGGTGAAAATGAAGGGGCAAGGGGAAAGGAATAAGACATGGGAAAGAAATATTAAACTATTTTTAAAAGGAAATGAACCATTTAGCTTCTGAAGGTGAAAGTTGGATAAACAGAGGCAATTGCGTAAAAACTAAACTACCTAGCATCAAAAACTAAATGGTGCTAGGATTCAGTCTCCCAACTAATTTGCTTCACCACTCTGAACAAGTTTCCTAAATGTGCTGTTTTTACAGAAATAACAATCAGAGGAAGTGTTTTCAAAATAAGTAAGCCACCAGGTGTTTGCAGCAAAGATTATATTTTATAGCCCACAAAGGACAACACACATCCATGGTTTTCTGAACAAATACCAACAACATGACAAGCTAACCTATCAAACTCAATACAAACACCTAAAGGAGTAACATACATATACACACAATTTGCCTCAATGAAAAATTATATTCTAGACTCTGACAGAGCCCTGAAACACGTGGGTTAAGCTACTTTTTAAACAGGTGTTTCTAAGTTAAGTACAAATAGATTTCCTATTTATTCCATGAATATTTAGATAAGAAATACAGCTTGCTTCATTGAACTAACTTTTTCCAGCTTACTGTCTTTGATACACTATCAAGACAACCAGCTTAGACTGTAATATATCATGATATAGAAGGCAACGAAGCTGGTGAAGGGTCTGGAGCACAAGTCTTATGAGGAGCAGCTGAGGGAACTGGGGTTGTTTAGCCTAGAGAAGAGGAAGCTGAAGGGAGACCTTATTGCTCTCTACAGCTACCTGAAAGGAGGTTGTAGTGAGGTGGGTGTTGGTCTCTTCTCCCAAGTAGTTAGTGATAGGACGAGAGGAGATGGGCTCAAGCTGCGCCAGGGGAGATTTAGATTGGATATTAGGAAAAATCTCTTCACGGAAAGAATAGTCAAGCATTGGAACAGGCTGCCCAGAGAGGTGGTGGAGTCATCATCCTTGGAAGTGTTCAAAAAACGGGTAGATGTGGCACTTTGGGATGTGGTTTAGTGGACATGGTGGTGTTGGGTTGATGATTGGAATGATGATCTTAGAGGTCCTTTCCAATCTTAATGATTCCTAGTTTTTACTTCCATTATAAATAATCCAGCCACCAAGCCAGGAAACATGAAATTGCTACTCTACACTTAACTGGTTTAGTGGTCGACTTGGTAATGTTAGGTTAGTGGTTGGACTGGATGATCTTAAAGGTCTTTTCCAACTTAAACGATTCTATGATTCTACGATATTCTACAGCCTAAGTAAAGTAATCATTAGGAAAGGAAACAGGAAGAAGTGGTAGATAAACTCAACTTCTAGAAGAGCAAACAGGATTGACAAGTTCAACTTTTCCCAAACCCAATCCACAGATACCATCTATGGCAACTATAGTTTGTAGCAAGTAGCGTTCCTGTCAGCAGTTTTTAATTTTTACAGTTTTTGAAATTAATTAACATGGTGCAAGAATATTCTATGGTCATTTCTGCTTTCATCACAGTTCTGTAACATGTACCATCTAATATGGGGGGAAAAAAGCATTACCTGTGTTGGCATTTCAAGCTTCATCTGCTTACCACAGTGACTAACTGCTTGCTACTACTATTTACCTCAGTTTGTATGATAGAGATACATGTGAGGAATTAGTTGCTTCGACCTTAATTAGAAGGTTAGTTACATATACTAAGTTTTGAATAGAACTCTTCTGTTACAGAAAACCAGCTTGGCCTTCATGACAGCTAAATTTGACTTAACACAATCTCTCTTTAAAGTGCAATTATTTTGGACAGTTAACAAATAACTGTTAAATCGTCTGGATAAGCATTTTAATCCATCCACTGTATTTCCACCATAGATAAAGACTTAGAATCTAACAGTCTTGCCCAACAGCAGAATCTCCTCCATTTCAGATGCAATAAACTACTCAGTACTGCTCTTCCACTCTTCTGAAGGAAACAAATAGAACTTGTTTATTGACTATGTTCATTTAGCTGGGTAGGTAAAAAACCTGAACTAAGAAGATGGGAAGAAGGTAAACATATTGCTGCAGAGCATACTGATGTCCTACCATTGCCCTTCTTGAAGCAGTCTCAAAGAGAGAGAAAACCCTGTACAGAGTTCCAAAGAAAGTGTACCAACAGTTTCCCCACAAGATACAATCGATTCAGCTGGGCAGGGAAGCTCAGTAGTTTCCACGCATCTTTCTGAAAGAGTTTATGGAATCTAGGAGGAGCATCTAGTTCCATACATAGAAAACATTCTGACAACACTCCATGGCTTCCAAGATGCACTGTTGGTTCCTTTAGAATTTGAAATTACTTTTAAGCCATACAATTAAATGTATGAAACAGTAAAAACATTCTGAAGTCAAGTCACTTTCAAAGTCCAAACCTAACCATCCATCTAATTATTATGAGTGGGTCATTGATTAGTGAATAGGCAAAAGCTTTAAAACTCAGTGCTTTGAGAAATTTTGCTGGTGCACACAAATTCTAGAACAGCAAACACAAAGCACAGTAATATTAAAAAAAACTATCAAAAATATAAAAAAATTTAAATACAAAGCTGGATTGTAATAAGTTTGGCATTTATAAAGTCAAGGAAGTGCATTCAAGATTTCCCAGAACAAAAGAAAAGTCCAGATTGAGGGGTGGGACTTTGTAATGCTTTAAACATACAAGACAGAATCAGGAAGAATTTTTAATACAGAATATTATCAGAGCAGTAATTAAAACAAACATGCTGCATCTTTGCAGAAGGACAATGCTCCAACACACAGACCAATGAAATTTTAGCATATAAGAATTTGGTTTTATGTAACAATGTCAGGCATTACTATCACTTGCTAAATATTAGTTGTTTCTTCACTTGCCCAAGTAGATTTAATAAGTATTACTGAAAATATTCTCAAGATAAATACAAAATTTACACAACCCCAAGATCTGAACATCAAGATACACCACTGTACTTGTTTTTCAGCTTTGAAGGTCTAGTATCAGTTTTACCTGTTCAGTTCTATGTCTAGTTTCAGTTATACCTGAAACTAGTCTCTTCATTTCTACTGTTTGTACTCTGGCACAGTAATTTTGCAATATGAATATTCTCATTTTGATCTGTTCAAGAAATTCTATAGCACCTTCTATTACGTTGCTCTATGTACCACCCCAGCTATTGTTTTTCTTTTAACCATACACAAGATTAACTATGTTTGAAGTTCACTAACTTGTTTGGTATATACGGATGCGACAGACCTACAAGCAAAAAAGATATGGCATCTAATTCAAACACACAAAAGCTACACAGAAGTCTGGCTTACCACAACGGAATCACACTTCAGGATGCACGCACAAGTTGGAACTAGTTTGCTGGCAAAGCAAGCAAGACTTAAATCCTGAGAATTAAGCTATGGAGATAAAAGCACTTTAAAATGAAGCAAACTGCATATTTTTGTCAGGGAATAATGTATGTAACCAAACTTTTCCATGTTTTGCTCTAACTTAACTCTACAAAAATAAAACAGGAAGTATGATTCTTTAAGTTAAATATGCAGTCTTCTGATGAGGAGGTTTGTTTTTACAGAGAATGAAATTTTAAATTAAATCAGGAATTGAGTCTTTAAAAAAAACCAAAAAGTTGGTTGTGTCAGCACTGCAATTATGTCCCACACACTCTATCACTCATTCATATACTTGTATGCAAAGAAATTCAAAATACGTAAATCTATATCTTATTTTCCCCTAAAAAGTACACATATTACTGAATAAATGTCCATATAACAAACTGGAGCTTTTAAGAGCTGTAAGTGAAACACACAAAAAACCCAAGTGAACTTTACTTATCAGTTATTTAAGTAGGGCAAATTCAAGCTTATTTACATACTTTAAACTTCTCTTCTTTGATAGAAAAATTACAAAACCTAAGGTAACACATCTTTCTATACAAGTCCAAAACTTACTTTGCACAGACTAAGAGAACTGACAATACCTGCTTTAGCTCTTCTTGATGTATTTACCTAACTGTCTCAGAGCTCCCTAACATTTTTCATTCACTGTGCTACATACTTCACATGCTGTGTAGCAAGTTTCCAACAAAGCATCTTCAAAGACCAGAGGAAAGTCAAACCCGTTACAGGCTATTTAAGCTGCAGTTTTGACAGTACAAGTCATTTGGTGCACCTTCTGAAGTCTGAACCGTTTCAGACATGGATTGCCACTATTTAAATAAGGACATATTATATTAGAGTGCAGCCTGCTAGATATTTAGTTATTCAGTGACCTGACATAAGTCTAAAAGAAATACTCCGAGAAGCCTTCAAGCTACTTGTTCCAACTTGATAGTCATTTTAATTCATTTAATCAAACTTGTGCAGCTCCCTTAAACAGGGTACAAGACTGAAAGCAGATCTACACTTAATTCGCTCACTGTTCTCCTCTCAAAAACGTATCATGGGAAAAGTGGTCATGGACAAAATAATTTATAGCTTCCTTTGCATTCCAAAAACCAGGAGAAATTTGGTAGTTATTTCTGCAAAACCCTCCATCTGGAAGTTTTAAGAGTCTTCAAGGAGAGAAAACATACCTGCTATAGGCACATATCCAACTCCTTGCTGATATACAGTGGGCATCAGGACCACTGGCTGGGGCTGCATCATCATGGCAGCTGGCAAAGACTTGACACAAAAAGCACAACAGACAGATTAGAACTACTCAAGAAATAAACTAAACCAGTAATTGAAACAATTAACACAGTATTTGAAAAAAAAAAAATCACATTGTAAATCCATGTTCTATGTTCAATATTACAATATGAATACCAAATGCTAATCTATATTAAGCAAAATCTCTGGCAAATTAACTGAACTACCATCCTTTTAAATGACAATTAATTTACCTGTAAATTAATATAAACTTATCATGTCATACTAGTCTTTTGCAACAGTTTGAAAAATTTTGCCACTGAAATTTTGTTACTGAAGCAAATTATGATGGGCTTAATCAGCTTTCATGCCTTATGAAATGAATATACAACATATTCACCATAAATGAAAAGTTAGAGCAAACCTAAGTTTTATTAAAAGCAATATACTGCTCCTAGAAGCAAATTTTAGTTCAAATCAATTATTTTTGAGGTAAACCAGTACTTTAAACAAAATATCAATTTAACTCCATTCCCTTTTACTACCACAATTCTTGTTCAGTTTGATCTTGGAAAATATTAAAAGGCTAGATTCTATGTGCAGTACATTCATGGGCAGTTTTAAAGGTTAATTACAAACTCATTTCTCCTAAGGGTAATGGAACAACTGTTCAAATGTGGGGCAGAATGTGAATTTCAAACAGCAGGGAACATATGTTTCCAGTTGTGCACTCAACAGCAACATGGAACTTTTGATCATATACAAGTGTAGTAGGAAGCATTCAGGACTGCACATGCTACACATGCTATCCAACAGCTACTTAAGACAAAAGTGACAGATGACAGCATAGTCCACAGGCTGCTGAACGGACCAGTTTAAGTCAGTAGTTCATGACTAGAGCACCAAATGAACAAGAATGGAAGTTAAAAAACAGTCATCAGAAAGAGCATTCGAACTATCCAGAAAGACATAAACCAGAGAAAAGTTTCCATTATTTTTGCTTTTAAATTGACATGACTTTCTAAAAATTCAGGGGGAAAAAAAAGTTATTGTTAGATTCCAAGAAGCTTTTTAAAAATTATTATTATGATGATTAAATTAGAAGTTACAATGGACCATTTGACTATTTCTTTTTTATACTATTAGCACAGGAATAAGCTGATTTTTTGTAATTGCAAAACCAGGTAAATAAATACCCATTTACCACCTCACCAAAAAGTATTTACTGCCTTAACTAATATTTTTGACTGCCATTCCCAAAGTTAAGTATAATTATTTTAAATGCTGACACACACAAACACCCAGTAAGGTACAATGGAACTATTTCTACCTCAAACTAAAGTATCTCCCTCCCACTACCCAAGAAGCTTCTCTCCCCTCCCCCTCCCACCCCAAACTTGGCTTACCGTGTATGACATAACCAGATTAATCATTCCTTCCTTGTCATCACCTTGCCTTCCGCTCAGGCTATACCATTCATCCTCCACATTTCCTTGTTTCAGAGACTCAGGAATTGTAATGTGTGTCCAAGCAATGCGGTCATCCATTGAAAAGGCCCGCTGGAATATAATTTTAAAAAATATTATCAAATTAATTGTCCTAAAAAAGAAATCTTAAAATTATTCCTGACTAACACTTCCTTCAGTTTTATTCCATTTCATTTTGCCAATTTTATTTTTAAGTTATTCCTTTTGAAATTACTAAAGTGTTGGTAAATATTTTGGCCATCTCCTTTCCAACAACCATGAATGATGCTTTCAGTGGGATTACAGATTGATTGCAGATATTTAATAATAAGAAATTGAAAACCTGAAGCAGAACACTTCTAGAAATACAACATTCTAACATTAGCATAGTCTGTGTGAATCTAGTGACATCCTATCAGAGGCCATTAAATGAATGTAAACAGCTTCTGTTTACACTACTACAAAAGGTGTTGAATTACTGGAGTTCACAGCCTGTTGCAGCAACAGAACAGACACTTCAACCAATCAACCAGCCCCACAAAATAGCATCCAAAAGCTTCATTTGTGTAATGACCACACAGCTGGTGCAGTGTCAAGTTTTACTACACACAGTAAGAGAGGCAGCAAAAAAAGGTGAATCACAGACTTTAGCCTCAGTTGTAGACTCTTAAATTGTTCAAGAAGGTATGTTTGTGCCAAGTTGAACAGCTGGGATGCAGGCACATATTCCCTACTGTCAACAGTAATAACATCTAGCAGAACAACATACTAGAATTCAAGATAGTACTCCTCTAGAAAAGCTTTGTAGAGCAAATTACATACCAGAGCTGTTAATCAGACCCATTCAATCTCTAAGAAAATGAAATTGTTTAGAGGTTAGGTATATATTACATGGTGTCTTAAGTAAAGCATAGACAAGTGCCTACATGCCCACTTGGAATGAAATTCAGGCAAGTATAGATTAAGTTATGTTTCTGCTAATAAATCCTAGTGATTACACACAGTCTATATTTGACAGCTTTATTCTCAGCATTTCCAAGCTTGGGAAAGCTTCCAAGCTCCTCCTGGGGCAGAATAACACTGAAGACTTTATAAGTAAAATAGCATTATATAAAGAAGCTATCTTTAATAGGGACAGTACAGAATATAAGGCTGCAGGGCACTTTGATAGTGAAGAGGAGCTTAAACACCACTCAGACATTTTTGCTTTGCAGGGAACCCTGCTGATGCCCCTTATCAACTACCAAAGGAAAAGTAACAGGTCTGACATTCTGGGGGAAGAGTGAAGCCTTATGCATTGCTGCTCTTGGGATTCTGAAAAATTATCATCTCCCAGAGAGCACATCTAAGAAACAGCCTTTGGTAACTCAATCCTTTTTTGTAAGATTCCACCCAAGCCTCAGTCCAAACAGGAGACGGGGGAGGGTGAAATATAGTAGTTCTGACCTCATCAAATATCTCTAGATAAAAAGAGTCCACACCAGGGGGAACAGTGCACTGAATAACTTTGTTCCAGCGGGGGTTCTTGGCTCCATTATGCGCTGTTGGAGTTTCATACACAGCATAGCCCAGCCGTATTCGACAATATGGATCCATGCGGGTCATTCCGTAGTTCTTTGCCAATTTTGCCTGGAAAGAAAAGAGAACCTGTAAGTGTATAATATTTATATTAACTTGAGAAGTTAATCACTATTAGTTCAGAAAGAGAATCAGATATTGAACAAAGGACTAGATTCAATTATGAGGTAGACAGGAAGGGGAAAAAAAAAAAGAAAAACAGCATTCAGATTGAAACACAGAACAGCCAACAACACCATTAAATGCCTGGGAGACCTTGAAAACGGAACCTCTTTTTAACCTGTCTGTTGTACAAAATACACATCTTCACCAGAGATAAAATAAGTTCCTTCATACCAAACTGTAATAGGTTTGCATGGCAAGGTTTTGGTAGCGGGAGGGCTACAGGGGTGGCTTCTGTGAGAAGCTGCTAGAAGCTTCCCCCATACCCCATAGAGCCAATGCCAGCTGGGTACAAGACAGACCCACCACTGGCCAAGGCTAAGCCAATCAGCAACAGTGGCAGCGTCTCTGTGATAATATATTTAAGAAGGGAAGAAAAAAAACCCCACCAGGACACAAACTGCAGCTGGAGTGAGGAGTGAGAACATGCGAAAGGAACAACTCTGCAGACACCAAGGTCAGTGAAGAAGGAGGGAGAGGAGGTGCTCCAGGCACCAGAGCAGAGATTCCCCCGCAGCCTGTGGTGAAGACCATGGTGAGGCAGGCTGTGCCCCTGCAGCCCATGGAGGTTAATGGTGGAGCAGATATCCACCTGCAGCCCATGGAGGACCCCACACGAGAGCAGGTGGATGTGCCCAGAGGAGGCTGTGACCCTGTGGGAAGCCTGTGCTGGAGCTGGCTCTTGGTAGGACCTGTGGACCCATGGAGAGAGAGGAGCCCATGCTGGAGCAGGTTTGCTGGCAGGGCTTGTGACCCCATGGGGGACCCACGCTGGAGCAGTCTGTTCCTGAAGGACTGCACCCTGTGGAAGGGACCCACGCTGGAGCACTTTGTGAAGAACTGTAGCCCGTGGGAAGGACCCATGTTGGAGAAGTTTGCAGAGGACTGTCTGCTGCGGGAGGCACCCCATGCTGGAGCAGGGGAAGAGTGTGAGGAGTCCTCCCCCTGAGGCAGAAGGAGCAGCAGAGACAACATGTAATACACTGACCGCAATCCCAATTCCCCATCCCCCTGCACCACTCAGGGGGAGGAGGTAGAGAAAAACTGGGAGTGAAGTTGAGCCTGGGAAGAGGGAGGGGTGGGGGGAAGATGTTCTAAGATTTAATTTTTAATTCTCATTATCCTACTCCAATTTGACAGGTAATAAATGAAACTGATTTTCCCCAAGTCGAGTCTGTTTTGCTTGTGATGGTAATTGCTGAGTGATCTTCCTGTCCTTATCTTGACTCACGAGCTTTTTCATTATATTTTCTCTTCACTGTCCTGTTGAGAAGCGGAGTGATAGAGTGGCTTTGGCAGGCACTTGGCATCCAGCCAGGGTTAAACCACCACACAAACCAAACCATACACATTTACAAGGAACTATTAATAAATTCAATCTTTGCCTAGGTATTTGCTCTCCAATATACAATCATAAACTTAATGTGATAGGTAGCCTGTCCTCTTTCCC